TTTTTTGTGTTTTTTAAATGCAGAAGTTTGTAATGAGAGAGAGAGAGAGGCAGAGAGACAACACTAATGAGAAAATGAGAAGCTTGGCTGTCTCCCCTTCATGATTCTTTTAAGGGGGTCGGTGCCAGGATATTTGAAACTTTTGCAAAATGGCCTCAGGCTCCACCTCCTTGGCCTTTGCCTCTGGCTGACGTTATTTTGGGAAAAGGGATGAGGGCCTCCCTGTGATTCCCACCAAAGCGTTTGTGGTGGGGCGGTGGCAGAGAATGGCTTGTTGAAAAAAATGCAGAGTGCCAGGCTGAGAAGGAGAGGCAGTTCATGCTGGGGCAAAAGCCAGATGTGTAGCGTGATCTGGGTTTTGCTCACTGAGCCTTTTTTCCCCCGAGGAGACCACGTGGGTTGCATTTGGCTCAGTGGCCCAGATGTGCTTCCTGTTGTCAGTGCAGAACTTACAGCACATTGGCCTTCGAGTATCTTCTGATAATTGGGTGCTCCAGGTGTTAGCCATTTGCAGAGAGGCAGTTCTTGCCTTTTGTTCTAACACATACTGTGAGCATGTCTCATCCAGCGGCTGTAATGCCACAGTTTTGGGGTTGTCTTTCAGCTGGTGGGATGAATTATGTCCAGGCGTATGCGTTCCCTTTCAGCCCGTGACTTGCATTTGTGAGATCACAGGCCAGGATTGAAATGATACCTGTGACTTGACATGAACTCCAGACGGGACAGTTTCGACCGGCTCTAATTAAGATCTTTATGCACAGTTTCAGGGATAGAGACCTTAACATTCCTTTTGGTATTAAGGGCTCAGCTTTTCTATGTCACGGTGATGAAGCAGTGATGTGTGATTATTTTTCTTCCAATTTTATTTTATTTTATTTACTTATTAATTTTTCTAGTTTTATTTATTTTTTTAACGACTTTTATCTCTAACACTTAAGGATGTATGTCTCTTCTGGGCAGCTCACTCACACAAAATGCCACTCATCATTGCTACAAGTCCTTGCCACTGTGTGTATGAATTAGTGTTGAAAGAGGTATTGGATTTAGTAGCACAGATGACTGGATTATATTCCTTCTAAACTAAGGGGAGTTTGGCAGAGATTTGAAAATAGATAAGTTTCCCATCTGTTTCTTGAACTCTGTTGGGTATCCAGTTGCAGAACTGGTTATTATTACTGTTCGTCCAAAATGTGGAATGGCCTGACCTCCAGGTCTAAATAGGGATTTAGTTCCCACACGCATGATTGCTAATGCCCTGTTTTAGCAAACCTGTCACCTACCCGATTTTAAAAACATAGAAGGTTCACATTGCTTGAGGCTGGAGTGGTTAACGTCTCTGGCGCCTTCTGTGAGCCATCAGGGAGCAATGTTTTTCTCATTTGGTTATTGTAAAGAAGACTTCTTGGTTCAGAAGGACAAAGGCTTGGAGGGGGACAGGTTCAAAGTCTACAAAATAATGAAGTGCACGGATAGAACGAATATGGACTTGCTCATTCAATCCTGAGTTGTTACAGCTTTGGGCTTCCTCTTGAAGTGTAAAAAATAGTTCCCTTACAGATGACAAAATATTATTTTGGGCCAGTCACTAGTGCTTTTATGAACATTGTTTCTTCAAGAGTGTGTACAGGCTAAACGTGGGCTCAGAAAAGATGGTGGTTCTAAAAAACGAGAAGTATGTCTCTTACGGTTTGAAATCATTGTGAGAAACTTTGTTCCTTTCCCCCAAAACCTGCCTGGGTGTTGGGCATTTCTAATACGTATGTTGTGTTCCTCTAAGATTCTGTGCAAATTACATTTCTGGAAATTCACTGTGGGATGTTGTAATTCAAAGAGCAAAACAGGCTGTAAACTTTATATTATATATATACAGTTTATATTCAGAAGGATGCTCAAGAAATAGATTATTGTTTCTGGCAAGGGGACCTGGGGACTGGAGGTCAAGGGAGGGAACAGGGGAGAGGGGGTTACTTACATACTATCCCTTTTGTACTGTTCTAATTTTTACCTCCTGAGTGTATTTAGAAAATGAAGAACTAAAGCTTATAGGCACCATGTAAAACTGGACTAGAGGTAATTTTAGCCTGAGTCTCCATAGGGGCAGAAGGGATCTGGTTCTCCATTAAAGCTCAACACCTCTCAAGTCAGTGGAGGCCTTGGGTGAAGAGAGGAGGCAGGAATGCTTGGTGGAAAGGGACTCTCAGGGTGGAGGATTAATAGTGGGTTTGGGTGTGGTAAATTTTATGATCTTGGTAACTTTCTTATATCTCGGTTTAACAATGTGGAAAATAGGGATTTTTTTTTTCAATTTTTGCAATGATTTTAATCTCTGTAAAAAATTATATGATGGGAACTACGAAGTCTTGGCAAAGATAATGACAGATGTTCTGCTTGTTTTCAATGCAATTCACGTAAATCCAGTACTTTGTAAGGTTCTTTAGTGGTTATGCACTAAAATTTTATATCTCGTTGGTTCTTAAAATGAAACGACTGATTCCAGACAGTGGGAGGTAGAGAGTTAAGGGAATGTTCAACCTGCCTGGTGTCCGGATGTGAAGGCCATCTGGCTTCCTCTTCTATCCCTGAGTGCCGGGATGGAGTTGGCTGATCTCACAGGCTGGTGGTTTCCCCTTCCTCCTAGCTGGCCCAGCAACTGATGTGGCTCCAATGGGATATTGGAGCTTTGGGGCTGATGTTCCACCTTGGAGATAACTCCTATTGTTGGCCTGTGGCCAGGTCATGAGGGGGAAACTGGGTCCCTGTGGCTTGAGAATATCATTCATTACTTATCACCTGATCAACACAAACTGAATGATAAGCAGTGAGTTCACGTAGAATTGCAAAGCAAACATACTTTGTCTTCAAGGCCCTCACTTCACCATTCTTTATCTTTGTTTTCAGGTTTTCCTCCCTTCTTAGACCCCAAGGACTCACTGTAATGGTGTTCTCTTTCTAACCCCTCCTCTTTTTTTTAATTTTTTTTTTTCAACGTTTATTTATTTTTGGGACAGAGAGAGACAGAGCATGAATGGGGGAGGGGCAGAGAGAGAGGGAGACACAGAATCGGAAACAGGCTCCAGGCTCCGAGCCATCAGCCCAGAGCCCGACGCGGGGCTCGAACTCACGGACCGCGAGATCGTGACCTGGCTGAAGCCGGACGCTTAACCGACTGCGCCACCCAGGCGCCCCATAACCCCTCCTCTTAAATTTTGCTCTCATGAAAGATTTGATGAACTTATACTAAAAATTTAAATATTAGTAAGGCGTAACATATGACCCCCTAAATGGGTGTTTACAATTACTTCGGCTCAAAAGGGTGAATCTGTAAATGGAGAACTTAAAGCAATATCCAGGTTGTACAGGAGGAATATTTGGGGAATAGAGGGAACTTTCACTATTCTTCCACTGTTCCATATATATGGCCCTTATTCATAGGGCAACCAGGTACATGTGTTGCTAATTTATCTACAATTTAACGGATTTTCATTGGCTTGGTGACATTTCTTTGACCCATTATATTATTGTCTCTGAAACTGTTCGCATAGTGATAACACAGGTTGGGGGTGGGGAATTCAGGCACAGCCCTGAAGGATGAGACGGTGAGGCTGAGTTTTGTACTTGCCCTCTTTCTTTCATTTTTTTTTTTTTAACACTTATTTATTTTTGAGAGACAGAGAGAGACAGAGCATGAGCAGGGGAGGGGCAGAGAGAGAGGGAGACACAGAATCCGAAGCAGGCTCCGGGCTCCAAACTGTCGGCACAGAGCCCGACGTGGGGCTCAAACCCACAAACCGCGAGTCGATGACCTGAGCCGAAGTCGGACGCTCCACCCACTGAGCCACCCCATGTACTTGCCCTCTTTTTTGAAAGACCCCTGAGTAATAGTATTCTATGGAAGCAGGGAGGTATGATGTGAATTTGCTCTTACAAAAGATACAAGATATTGCATGTAGATTAATAATTGATTAATAATTATAAAGTTTGCAGCTGTAACTAACTGAAACTGGTTCAGGTTGCTTATACAATAAGTAAATTATTATGTCATGTTGTAAGAGTCCTAGAAGTATGGCTCCTTGTTTGGCTCATTTGGCGACTCCTTGGTATCATTGTGGTCCTCAGTGCCATCCATCTATGTGCAGATTTCACCTTCAGGTTGGATGCAACCAGGAAGCAACTCATTCCCATATGCGTTTCGGGTGTTCAATTCAAAATGACAAATGTCCAAAGGAAAAAGAGATGTTGTATCTTCCTGTGTCCCTTTTTAGGATGGAAGAAACTTTTTTCAGAAGCCTATCAGCTGATTTTACTTTGAGCTTCGTTGGCAAGGATTGGGTCGCTTGACCATCGTAAAACCAATGGCTGGAAAGGGATTTACATGATTGGCTAAGATCTGTCATTTGGGGACTGAGGAGCGATTGGAGGCTCAATCAGCATGACCATTGTAGTGATCCTTAGGAAAATAGTCTGAGTTGGCAGTCCTTTCTTTAGTGGGTTTGTTCGACCAATGGCTGTTTTCCTCACAGAGGTGGGCTAGCAAATGGAACATGTTTTAAAATATACAATAGTTAGCCTTGGGAATAAAATATCAAACCAAGTACTGTGCCGCTTGCAAAGCTCTAAGGATGTTATTTAGCTGTGCTAATAGCACCCAATGAGGGAAGGCCATAGAGACAGGAATAGCCTCTCCAAAATACACCCAAAGATATCTGGGAGAGTGTGCCGCTGTGTCCCAACTCACTAACTAGAATTAAATATATTATCTGAACTGTCTGCATCAGGGTCAAATATCAGGACTGGAGGTAACTAAGTCCGTGATCATGCTTATCATGCAAGACAAGAATGATTTGTTTCGTTCAAGGGCCACACAACCTCTGATCAGCAGGTGGAAAGCCGAATGTCAGTGTTCAAAGAAGCTGTGTTCTCAGTTGTTTATAGCTATTCAAATATTGACAAGCCCATGTGTGCCTGTTGGCATCTTGAACTGCCTGCCTCAGTCTGGCATGGTTCAGACCTGTCTGCTGACTGACTTGGGGCAAATGGCCCTAGGCCTTGGTTGGGCCCTTAGTAGGGTTTTGGGCCTACCGTTGTAGGATGTCTGAATTGTCCAAGTGAGTGCTTTTATGAATGAAGGGAGTGTTCATGTTCCCTGCCCCTGCAGAGTCAGGATTGAAAGAAAATGATGAGACCCATGATCTTTGGGTCACCCTTGAACCTATTCCTCTTCCTCCCTGCTCATCACATGCACTTCATCTCTTCCAAATAAAGTTCTAAGTGACCTCGATTTTCCCTGAATCAAATCACATAGATCATCTGTGAGGCGCATAGGAGGCAATGGCCTGTATTGTCTACAGAGGATCTGAGGCCTTGAGCACTGAAGAGATTTGCTCAGCTGAAACACAAGCTCCTTGAGGACAGGGGACATGACTTTGGCTCTGCTGTCGTCCCATGATGCTTAGCCAAGTGCAGGATGCTCAGAGATACATAATTAAGTGGAGTGAGGCAGTCTTAGAGAAATGATAAGCTCGGTGGCCTTGACCTCTTTTGTTAATGTTTTTTTTTTTAATTTTTATTTTTTTTATTTATTTTTTTTTTAAATTTTTTTTTTCAACGTTTATTTATTTTTGGGACAGAGAGAGACAGAGCATGAACGGGGGAGGGGCAGAGAGAGAGGGAGACACAGAATCGGAAACAGGCTCCAGGCTCTGAGCCATCAGCCCAGAGCCCGATGCGGGGCTCGAACTCCCGGACCGCGAGATCGTGACCTGGCTGAAGTCGGACGCTTAACCGACTGCGCCACCCAGGCGCCCCTGTTAATGTATTTTTAAAACTCTGAATTCGTGTAAATGCTTCTGCAGATCTGAAAATTTAGTGGAAAGCAACATGGGTCATTTGGCGTCAATAACTTTTCTTGCATAGTTTAGAGAACAAGGTGGGAGTGTGGATGGCTGTCTAACAGTCCCAGTTTCCACTAGAGTGGCATTGCAGGCAGCATCGTGGAAAGGGTGGGCTTTTGAGCCAGGCAGATTTGTTGTCAAGGGCCACTGGTTCTCTAGTGACCTTCCGCAAGTTACCTCACCTCTTTGGGTCACGGTTTCTTCCCATGTCACTGCCTGGCCCTGATAGATAGGCTTTCCCACTCTCTCCCCTAATCTGGGGAAGAGAGGTCCTCACCTCAGGAGTCTGACATCATTCGGGAAGCACGGGGGCCTGTAATTATTCTCTCTCACACATCTTCATTTCCTGTCCTTCTACCTTCTGCTGTAAACATACGTCTCTGCTGTTGCTCCTTCGTGCTCATTTTTTTCTCCCTTGTTTACTGCCAGGTTTTCTCAAACAAGTGGGCAATAGCTACAGTCTCCATTTCCTTACTTTCTGCTTACTTCTGCACCCTGTCTGTTCTTCCTACCGTTGCTAGAAGATCGTCCAACTTCTGTCTAGCTGCCAAATCCAGTCTGTTCTCTGTCCTTACCTGCTAGGCCTCATGGACGTAACTTGGCAGCATTGACCACAAGGTCATCTCCTAACTCATTCTTGCTTTTGGCGTCCATGACGGTCTGGTGGGCTTAGCTTTTCCTTCTTCCCTGGCTTCCTTACTACCTGTTAAATGTGAGCAATTGGTACCTTCTTTCTGTACGCTCTCCTAGGCTCCTCTGTCACCTTCAATACAGCTGGTTCTCAGATTTTCATATCTATTCCTTGTCTCTTGGTGGAAAGTGGGAGCTCTTTGGTATAACCCAAGATTCTTCTGGGCCCTCATTGGCTGTGGAAGAGCTGTGGCTGGGTAATCCTTGAATCTTCATGATGCATTACTCTAAGAGTTGGGGACACTTTGAACCCCCTTAGCACTGCATCCCATTTATCTCAGGGAATCTTTACTGACTCAGCTCTCCTGCATATAGATGCATGAGAAGCTCACAGGTCATTACTGGGACACAGTTGTTTCTAGAGTCAGTGTCACCCATCACATGGAGGCTGTGTTTTGGCTGGGCTCGTGCTTATTCTTCAGATTGGGAAACACTTTGTGGTGTTCTGGGGTGGTATGTCTGATTTTTTCTAGGACTGTGTGGAAGGTCAGTGCAAAAATCAGACATAACCTGTTAGAATCATGTACCATGTATTCCTCTGTTGTGTATAACTGCTGTCAATCTCAGTTACAGTTGCCTCATGTTGAACTGTCTGCCTTTGAACTGCTGTATTGTGGAGTAATTTATTTATATAGATTGTGCTGACATTACTGAAAAGCTTTGAGGTGTTATTTATTTATTTATTTATTTATTTATTTATTTATTTATCTTTTTTAAAGAGTTGAGATGGGGTACTCTGAGCCACCCAAATTTCTATGCCTGCTTCTTGTTAGAAGTATCGACAGTGTCTCTTGGAAGAGAGTTCTTCCTTGGTGCATAAGGCATCTTGTTGTGTGAATTCATTTTGAAACAAGTTTACTTGACATTCTGGGTCTCAGTTTATCCAGTTGTAAAATGCTGCATTTGTATCGCGTGGTCCCAGAGAGTTTTTTTAAACCCCGTAGTTCTATGCTGGATATCATGCTCCTACCCTTGCAAGGCTCTCAGCTTTAAAAAATGATTTAAAACACCAGTAAGTAGATTTAGTTGATTCCTTGTATAATTGGGGCAGCTAATTGGCAGATGTCATGCTGCATTTTGTAGCCTCTGTTTTCTGACTTAAAACCTTGCTTCAGTAAATCCCAGACAAAATAAAGAATGGAAAAACAGAGAGGCACAGAGGTAGGAAACATTTTTTTAACATTAGAAAAAAAAATCGTCTTCAGACTTCTTGGCAAATAAGAGGAGTCTGGGGGGAAAAAAATCCATAAACAGTTTCCTAGTTGTCTGAGTGGAAAATCCTGGTTTTTAACATTTCATATCTTGGAAATGTCTGAATAGTTTTTGTTTAAAGGGAAATTCCTTTTGGCTGAGAAAGAGCCTGCAGGATTCAAACTGATAGGGTGATGTTTTTAGAAAACTTGGAGGAAATAAGGATTTGTGATGAAAATGCTTTCTCACTGGCCAATTGTGTTAAGCAGAAATTTAAATCCAAGGTTACCAATCATAACATTGTAAAGGTTCAAATATTAACTCCTTCCTTCCCATGGCTTCCTGTCCACGCATCCTGGGGAAACATCTCACAGTCGGTCCTTCCTCCAATTTGAGGAACTTAATGAATTGCTTTTCTAAACCTGTGCGTGTTCTAGGCAGGAGGATATGACATTTGTGACCTTGTGGCCCTCCCAGTAGAGTGGGAAGGAAGATGTATAAACAAGTCATTAAATGTCTGGTGTACATTTTGCGTTAGAGCTGTATTCAAAGTATTTCTGGAGCACAGAGAACACGAAGAGTTTGGGAACACCTCACAGAGCAGATGAGATTTACAGTGGGTCCTGACGTATAAAACAGGAGTTCTTTAGGCAGTGGGAACAGCAAGTATAGAGTAGGAATGTGCAAAATGTCATGGTTGACTCTAGGAATCCCAAGTAGTTTTATGTACTTTGAGAGTAGGTGCCCTGCGGAGAGTGTTGGGGCATATGACAAGATCATAAAAGGTCTACATGCCTGCTTAACCATTTGGCCTTTCTTTTGTGGGCAGGAAGGTGGGAAGCTGTTAGGGCTTTTAACAAGAGAGGGACAGGAGCAGAAATATGTTGTCGAAAGGAAACCCTAGTGGTTACGAAGGATGGATTGGAGGGTAGAATTAATGGTGGTGAGATGATCTGTGGCTGCCTACTTCAGCCGTGAGGTCGAACAAGACACCGTGAGGGCCTTGGACCCGACCGGGACAAACACACGAATGCAAGCAAGGGCTGGGAGCCAGACTGGGAGACATGGGGACCGTGAGGGACCGTGAGGGGGATATGGGAGACCTTCTGTTTTCTGAAGTGGCGGACTGAGTTGGTGGGGCTTCCAGTGACCTGGAAAGGGGATATTTAGAGGAGGAATGTTTTCGGTGGGGAAAATAATGAGTTCCCTTTCAAACATTGATTCTAATGTGTCCATGGAACATTCGGAAAAGGCCTTTGGGAACTTGGATTTAGAGTTCTGGAGAAAAGTCTGGACTGAAGGTGTAGACTTGGATGTTGCAAGTCTAGTGGGGATCACTGAGGCCAATAGCCCACAGAAGCTGGTCCAGGGAGGTCAAGTGAGAGTGACGAGTAAGAGAAAAGCTAAGGATGGAGCCCTGGGGGCCCTAGAACGGTTGGCCAAGAAAGAGGAATCTGCAGATGGAACTCAGAAAGAGCCGATAGGAAAATGTGGAGAAAATCCAGGAAAATCCCATCACAGGATCCAAGAGAAGAGAGAATTGCTACAGAGTGGTTAAGACAAATAAAGAGCGTGCACTGCAGCTGGCTCCAAGGACTGTGTGCATGGCAGCTGAGCGCAGTGCCTGTGTCTCAGGGCCATGGCGGTCTCCCTGTGGTCTGAGCCCGTGGCCCTGCTATGTGGCATTGTGCTTAGCGGGTGGAGGCCTGGTTTCCAGGCAGGAGTGGAAGGCAGACGGACAGCACCTAGGAGTAAATATGCACAGTGGGTAATATATGCAACACTGCCTCTTTCTTGCCTTTGTTTTTACAGAAGCCTAAAACAATCCTTAAAATTGGCCTTGGAGACTGTCACAGTGCCCAGGCACTTTTATGAAGGTACTTTCTTCATTCTTTTCTCCAGGCTGAGTCCATCTGTCCCTGGATGTCCTTCTGGCTGGCAACCAGGAGTTTGTGCGTGTGTCCCTTTGTGCATGTGTCATTTATGGCCTTGGAGCATGCAGAAGGCTGGTCTCTGGACTCTTAATACCTGTGTAAGAGTGTTGGGATTTACCAAATGCCTGTAAGAATTGAGGCTTTGCTTTATTTCTTCTGACTCTTCCCACGAAGGAAGTATGGGTAGACCCCACTGATTGCCAAAGATGGGTTTGATTACAGATAACATCAACCCTATTCAACAGGCAGAGAACCTAATTGGCCCCATTTTTGTATGATATGTTAGTAGGCGAGGACAAATGGCTTTGCTATAAGAACATGAGCCTGAGGGTTTGCCAGTGGAAGGAACGGTAAAATAAATGATGCAGCTTCAAAGAAAATGTGCAGCTACAAGCAGTTCCTGGGTTTCGGGACCTACACAGGGGACTCTTGTGGGACACCCTGCAGCTACCTCCCTGCCCCCTGCGTGTCCCCTGCGTGTCCCCTGCGTGTCCCCTGCGTGCTGCGGCTGACTTCTACCTTTGTTCTCTGCTGTGCTTGTGTGGCCCTCGGCCTCCTGGGAGACGAGCAACAGGCATGGGAGGAGGAGCTGGGCAGCCAGGACTGAGGGCCCACAGGAGGGCGAGAAGAGGAGGGGATGGGGAGGAGGGAGAATTCCATTTCCCCCAGGAAGGAAGCAGGTGGCCCTTCTCAGCCCTGAGCAGAGCAGACACCTGTGAGGAAGCTTAGGAACCACCCCGAGTTTCAGCTGCACTGTGGGTTGAGTGGTCTCTTGGCTGCCTAGGTTGTTTCCTAGTCATCTTGTTTGCTGGCTTCGTATCCCATTCTTTCAGTAACAGAATGTCCTGTGAAGAACCTACGTTACAAACGTAAAAACAGTAGACTTAAGGGGCCTGGGTGGCTCAGTCAGTTAAGCGTCCAACTCTTGATTTCTGCTCAGGTCACGATCTCAAAGGTTCAAGAGGTCAAGCCCCGAATGGGGCTCTACGCTGCCTGTGCGGCACCTGCTTGGGATATTCTGTCTCCCTCTCTCTCTGCCCCTCCCCTACGAATGGGTACGCCTTCTCTCGTTCTGTCTCTCAAAATACAGAAATACACTTGAAACAAAATAGACTTAATTTTTTTAAAATAGTTTTAGGTTCACAGTAAAATTGAGCAGCATGTATGACGAGTTCCCGCGCACCCCCTACCCTCCCGGCACCGTGCACAACCTCTACCACGGTGTCTGCATCCTGCTGCTGCGAAGTTTGGAATGGGGAGTCAAGATTCATCAGCTGGGGTTACCTGAGGCAGCTTTTGATTTTAACTTTTTTTTTTTTTTAATTAGTCACAGAGAGGCTTTCTTTTTAGTCCAAGAAGCTAAATAGCTCACAAGAGCCTTAAATAGGTGTGTGTGCCCTGTGGGGGGGAGGGGGCAGTTTTTTGTTTTGTTTTAATAAAAACTTCAATTTAGGAGCAGCTGTAGAGATTTCAGCAGAATTTCGGTTAAGATATGGTATGTCCCCTTCCCCAACCTTCCATTTACAAGTGGCATAGGCACTCCTTTCCTTTGGAAAGGAGTTGGGATCGAGGGGGGGAAATACCATGTTTTTTTCATGACCAAAGCATCCTAATCCCATCTCTGTAGCTATGACTTTTAACTTCCTACCCCGAGATGGTATTCGGCTCTGAGGCCCTGCCAGGAGTTGTTTTTCTGGTTCTGCTCTGGATTTGCAAGTTTTCTTTCCAGGGCTCTCTGCAGCCCATGACCCACATTTGGAAGCAGCTGGAAGGCCTGGCGCCCTGGGCTGAGGAGGCGGAGGAGGCCAGGACCCAGCCCAGGTGCCGACAAAGCTGCCCCCCACCGCTTGGGCCCCAGGACATCATGTTCTGACTGAAGGTGCCCACCACCCCCAGCCCTTGTCACCGTGGACGTTTTCGTGTGTGATGAGAAAGAGGAGCAGAAAAATAGCAGCCAGAAAGCCATTTGGTGTTTCAGCTGTGTTTACATAGTAGGAACATGAGGTAGGTCGAAACCCAGCGTTTCCTTTTGATTTAAATGCACACTGATAGGAGGCAACTGAAATTCAGCCTGGCCCAGCTAAGAGGTGGGGTGGCTGGGTCGGTACGTGCAGCTTTCTTATTCCTGCCCTTCCTGGGTCTGGTGTGGGACTCTGAACATCCCATTGTCCGCTGATGGCTCAGCAACTCGGCAGGGGGGCAGTAGAAAAAGCAGAGATATGGAGTCAGCACAGACTTCATAAACCTTTTCACCAACAAGCAATTATGTGTTCAGTGCTTCCAAGCCTTGTTGGCATGGCACTCGTAGACCATGATGTTCTCTGCCGGGTGCACCGGAGCAATGGGTGAGGCCGATCACGGCCCAGGGCCTCTGTCAGCTCCAGCCTCTGCTTGAGGCACTCCTTCGGCCCACTCGTTGTGCTGAGCACAACATAGGTAGTCAATAAAATACTTGCTGACTGGGGACACCTGGATGGCTCGGTCGGTTAAGCATCTGACTTCGGCTCCGGTCATGATCTCGCGGTTCGTGAGTTCGAGCCCCACGTCGGGCTCTGTGCTGACAGTTCAGAGCCTGCTTCAGATTCTGTGTCTCCCTCTCTCTCTGCCCCTCCTCTGCTCTCTCTCTCAAAAGTAAGCAAATGTTAAAAAAAAAAGAAATACGTGCTGATTGGGGCTCACAGTGTGGTGCTAGTGTTCCCTACCCTGGGTACCCTTTTGAGGCTGTTTCACAAGGCCACGAAAGAGGATGAGTGCCATGATGTGACCAAAGCGTTTCTGTGGGTGGTGTGTGGGCCCTGCTTAGGAGATAATAGGGTCCCGCGCTCCAGTTTTTTGGTTTGTTTTTTTTACTCCAGTAATTTCAGGGATGCATAGGAAGAAACCCACTGCTGAATTCGAAACTTCAGGGAAAAAAAATTAGTAGACAGAATAAAGCCTCCTGGATGTGACCTAATTGTTTTATTTATTTATTTATTTATTTATTTATTTATTTACTCCAGGTCTGTTGAGATACAATTAACATATAACACTGTCTTGTATAAGTTTAAAGTGTACAGCATAATGATTTGATACGTGTATATGTTGCAAAGTGATCACCACGATAAGTTTAATTCACACCTATCACCTCACCTAGTTATGAATTCTTTTCCCCGTGATGAGAACTTTTAAGCTCTGCTCTCTTAGCAACTTTTAAATATATCATACAATGTTGTTAACTATGGTCCTTATGTTGTACGTTACATCCCCAGAACTTAATTTATCTTATAACTGGAAGTAATAAGACCACCTTCACCCTAATGTTGTGGCCAGACATTTAGGGGGAAGGAAACCTTAGAGTTTTTTGTTGTTGTTGTTTTGGTTTTTTGTTGTTTTGTTTTTTTAGTTGCTACCTGACTATTTTTAGGCTTAACTCCTGGCCTTGATTTGCATGACTAAATTCACACTTCAGTTTTTCAGGCACCTGCTTCTGCAGAACTCAACTTCTTTGGAGGTTTTGAGGAGTGGGTTGGTAGCAGGTGTTAACATTCTTCGAGTCACAGGAAGGAAGGCAAGAGAGAGCTGGCCCATTCCCTGTCCCTGCCACCCCGTGAAACAACTGTCTGTGACAACATTGAGATCATTTACATTGCTTTTCTAATACGAAAAACGTTTCTGGGGCTGACTGTGACATACTGAGGAATCCATTAGTGTGAGAGTAGACGAGAACAGTAAACATGGCATGGAGCAGCCCCGTGGGGCCCTGCCGTGGCATCAGGGAGAAGTCTGGAGGGCTCTGCTTGTCCCCTGGGCCTTCCCAGCAGAGCGACTTTGAATGCTGTTGATAAGCTGTAGCAACTGGCATTGAAGCCACAGGCTGTCTTTCTGACCCATGGCCTGACTGCATTCAGCCTTTGACCTTCCAAAGTAGTTGATGTAAGGAGAGTTGAGCGAGAGAACCTTCCCTGAGTCTACCTTCTTGGGAAGCAGGTTCTAGGTGGGTCTTCTCTGCCTTCCTTTGATCTGGACCTGCCAGCCTCCTATCCAACAGAAGTTCCCCAGAGATTGTGCCATGTGAATGGACCCACTCCCATAATGCCTTGTTATTATTTTAGGGCTTTGGGAGAGAGCCTCTAGAAACCTGTGCCCTCTCTGGAACCTCCACCCTCTCTGGAAGTCATACATTTTTATTTTCAACAACAACAACAACAACAACAACAAATCGCTGGTCATGGGGCTAAATGCCAATGAGAGAAAATCCTTAGCTCTAGAAGTTAACAAACTTGAAGGAGTCACCTGATGGTTCTTCTCCAAGGAGCCGCATTACGGCGAAGCAGCTGGCAGATGGGGAGACTGGTTAGCCCTTCACTGGTTTTTCGTGAAATGCAGACAAGTTTCATGACAAGTTTGTTCTTTGGTGTTTGCCAACCAAAAGAAAAATATCCTGGTAGATAGATTTTATTTTTCCTCATTGCCTTTTGAGAAACTATTACCTGTGCCAAATTGGCTTCTAGGAAAAAAAAAAAAAAACCAAGAACAAAAGTTTCAGGATTGGAACAATGTATGTCACTTGGCTTCAGAATACACGAACTTAACCATGTGATGGTCTACTTAGCTTTACGAAGCAAGAGGTCCTGAGCTAGGCTCTCCAGGGCTGGTGTGATGGCTGAACAGTGCCAGCGGGTAGCGGGATGGTCTCTCCTAGTCAGCCTGCCATCTTTCGTGGGTAGACCTTTGCCCTCATGGGCGTTGCCTCGTGACTGCAAGATGATTGTGTCACCTCCAGCGTAACATCAGCCTCCCTGACGGGAAGAAAGTGAGAGGGCAGAGCAGAAGGGGGTAGCACCTATATTAGAAAAAGCCAAGATCTGCTCTGGAGTAGCAGCGGAATCCCTGTTAGGTTTCACTGGCCATCCCTCACTGCTAGAGAGGGTCCCGGAAGGTGAGTGGTTTAGCCGGATCCCTGGCTACTCCGAACGAGATTGGCGTGTCTGATGGTGAGGAGGGAGGGCAGGATGGGTATTGAGTGTCCAGGCAGCAGCGTCTGCCTCATTACGAAATAACTACTGTCCCAAACTTGTAGGATCCTAGATCTCCTAGGGACCCTCGATGTGGCTGAGTGCAACCCCTTCACGACACAGATGAGGGAACTGCTTTATTTCCTTCTATTTCTGCTCAGTATGCCAGAAACCCCAGTTGCGCTTTTCGGCGCTCCTGGTCTGCGCTGCTGACCCCCGATGCATAAACTGTGCCCAGAATGTGAATGGGCTGTGAAGTCCCTTTCACCGGGGAAGAGAGCGGCAGGGACCCAGGCGGTTTGCATATGGGAATCAAAAGGTCTGATTATGCTTTCTCAGGAAAAGCAGCTGGCCAGCAGAAATTACTGGGTGCCTTGGAGGACAGAACCTGGAATTTGGCCTCCTGGAATGATCACGAGAAAATAGAAACCTCAGCCCTGCCGTGAGGAGCAAAGCCTAGCAAGGCCGCCAGCACAATCACGTGTGTGAGACAGAGCAGAGACTCGGGCGAACAGCGAAGGAAATCCATGGCAGACCGAGCAGCCAGGCCAGAAAGGCAGCTTGGGGGAATTGGCTCTGAGCAGGGATTTGTAAAGGTCTATTATTTGGTGGAGAGCGATGATGTATCAAAACAGTGGTTTCAGAGTGAGCAGCTTTGCCCGGCTGGAGCCATTTAATAATGCAAGCCTGAAGCCTGGTGTGTGTTCTCTAGAAGCGCAGCCTGGACGTGATGCTGTTTATGGATTCCTTGCAGAGGGAGTGTGTGAAGTTAGCCAGATTTATTGGAACGTGTCTAAAAGACCACTAGCCCTGCACCGGCTTTCCCTTTGAGCTTTCCATTCCAATTCTCTTCTTCCCTCCCCCCCATGTCTGAGGACTGCCTGGTAGCCCTGACATTTCATTTCTGCCCTTACTTCTCCTGTGCCCAGAATGTGAGGGGGCTGTGGAGAGGCCCACTTCTTTGGGGGCCCAGCCAGTCTCCTTAGTGCTGGACCCGTGTGCCTGGTAGTGCTCTGGAGGGCGTTCTCCACCCTTACCTCAGGGCCATTTGGCCGAAGAGGCAAAAATGTGGGGACCGGCATCTCAGGCTCTTATGCCCCAAGGTGGAACAGGTGGACGGTGTTTGGCATGGAGAGTGCTAGGTGTCTTGGCTCGGGCTGCCATCACAAAATACTATAGGCTGTGTGGCTCAAACAATGGACGTTTGTTTCTTTGTTTCAGTTTGGAGGCTGGGAAGTCCAAGATCAAGGGATCAGCAAATTCTG